CATCCATAGAGATGCAAACCAAGGTAGTACCTGCCTCCCTGATTCTGAGGAGTCTAGTGCTGTGTTTTTCACATAATAAAAGTGATTCTTATATATGCAAACAACTGCCAACCTCTGTCCTTTGAGGTCCAGCCTTACCCAAGCTCCTCATTACATCTGGCTGCCTAGCACTTTATTAATGACTTGGGTCCCTTATTTTTTTTATCTTTTGGCAGGACCAGCCCTACCATTTTGCAGACTGAGGCAACGGAATCCAACAGTGGATTTTGAGCCATTGAAGTCCAGCAGATCGTTTGCTATTTCATTTCTCATTGTTGTATTTTTCAACTGCCATTTAGGGAAAGGGCTGCTTGTGAGAATTTATGCTTCATGGACCACAATAACTCTCTTGGCTTTGGATATTGAACATCTTGACTTGGATTGAGAGAGGAGAATGAAATATGCTGCTGTGCCTCAGGCAGCAAAATTTCTTGGGCCAGCTCTCTGTCTTAGATCCTCTTCACCTCTCATACTAAAGAGGAGACTTGTCTGAGATAGAGTCTTTATGTTCCAGTTCTTAACATGTTCAGTTCTTTCTCAGTTACTATTCTTAAAAGTGTTCAGTTCTTTCTCAGTGGAGATGATCTGACTCATAACTTTACCCTTTTTTAAAAAAAGTACTTGTTTGCTTTGCTATTTTCATTTCATTTGTAATGTAGACCAAAACAAATTAACTTTTTTATTTGAGGCCAACTTACTCAATTAAAGTTTCTTGTCTGCTGATATTTGATTCTGCAGTAGGATCTCTAGCTTCTTTTGTGGCCCATATAGCAGCCTTCAACAGCTTATTGCCTGTATTGGACCATGGATCCCTCCATTCCTAGGCATTGTTAGACCCAGGGTAAAATTTCTACTCAGTCATAAAGCTCGTATGGTAACCAGGCACCATCTGGTTTCATAACTTACCTCGGAGAGTTATTGTGAGCATAAAATAGCAAGGGGAATGAATGTGTACAGTGCACTTAGGAAGAACAGTGGATCATTAATGCTCAATAACAGTGAAGATACTAATAGTAGCAGCAGTGTAGTGGCTGAGAATCTGAATTATGAACTAGGAGGCTACTTGTTTGTATCCTTGAGCATTTAGAGTTTGTACCGTATCTCTAAGACAAGCCTTTGATAAACAGTTTCTTCTTAGCCCTTTGGCTGCAATGAGGACACAACAGTATTTGCCTACTTCAAGGTTAACTTTAACCCGGTGACTCTCAATACGGAGGAGCTGCCACTCCTGTTATTCTTCACCACTGCCTATATTGGGAGAGGATGATGGAAATAAGAATCTCTCACTGTCTGAAAGGCCCAGTCACAACCTACCTCACAAGGTGGTTGTAAGAATTGTTGTGATAGGATTAATGAAGTTCGTTGAACATCCATATATTCCCTGCTGGCCTGCAGATTAAAGCCTCTCCTGATATCGTCAGGAAAAAAAAACCTGCTTTAATTTCCGCATGTCACGCTGCCCTTAAGGCAGGACAGATGAGGAATGTTGAACCTGTATCTAACAGCGATTCTGCATTTCATTGGGATCTGCAACACAGTTTATTTTAAGGTGTGCCGCTCACACCCTTAGTAGAGACAATTCCTGGAAGCAGAAGAGGGTGCAGCTTTTCTGTAGCTGGGGAAAGTGAAAGCAAGTAAGCAGCATTATGACATTGCTTTATCAAGGACAGGAAATTGGAGGCCTGCTAGTTAGACCTGTGCTTGGGCAGCCTTTATCTTGTAAATGCCTAATGAGAAAAGAAGGAAAACAAGGAGCACATGGTAAAAAGCTATCTTTGCTTTGTGCTAAAGTTTTTGTATTTGGCCTCTGAACCTTCAGTGTTGAGGACTCGAACAAAGAAAAATATAGAACTTTAAAGAGAAAGACTGCCTAGCAAGAGAAAGGTATGGATGGTTCTGATTCTGGTTCTCTTTTTTTTCTATTTTATGATCATTTATTGATTACATTTGCTTATTTATTAGTTGTCTTTGTATTTTGCCTTTCCCCCAGTAACTGAAGCCAGTGTACATAATCCCCTCACAACAACCCTGTGAAGTAGGTTAGGCTGAGAAGTACTGTAGCAGCTTCCTGAAGATCATCTAATATACCAACACCCCATACATTGTGGGGCTTCAGAAAAGGAAGTCCATAAGGCAGCCCTGCACAGTAGTGAATATGAGGATGCAATCCAGTGGGAAGTTCGCTACACAGCCGAATGTCATGAAAAGAAAGAATGCAAGAACGCTGCCACATCCTAATATGCTTCCCTTTGGTTTTCTTGAGTTGTGTGCAGGAGATCATCCTGCTGAACTTGACTCCGAGAGTCAAGTCATTCTGTATCCATTCCTCTGCCTTTCACAAAAGCCAAAATCTGCTGCTTGCAATTCTGTGCAAAGTGTGAGGGTTCAACTTTTGGCTCCATATTTGGTTCAAAGAAATCATTCGATTTTTGCTGCTTCGAAACAGGTGAAAGATTTACTGGTATATTTAACAATAAACAAGAGTCTGGAACATGATTAAGAGTCTTTTCTCCTTCTGCCAACGGGTCCAGAAGGGGCTTCCAATCTTCAAACAGGAACAGGTTTCCAAAACTATAGTTTCATGATCCTGGTAAATCAGCGGGGACTCAGTCTTTTATGGTCTGCCCTGGCGGGCCTTCTGGCAGGGGCACAGTCTCCTCGTCCAGGTCATCATCCCACAGGATCCGTCCATTGGGGTCTCAGCTCTCCCGGGATCCTCCCTGTAACTCCTCTTCATCTCCGTTACCCTCCATTCCAATCTTTCTCTCCTTTCTCTCTTTATTTGTTTTTTTGTCCTCTCTCAATCTCCTCCTCCACTCTCTCGCCTTGGCCTCTCCCCAATAAGAGGGTCTAGGTGGGATCTCCGCTCTCCTTCTATAATCTGATTCCTCCTTGGGGGCTCTTAATCTCTCCTTCCTCCCTGTAACTCCTCTTCATCTCCGTTACCCTCCATTCCAATCTTTCTCTCCTTTCTCTCTTTATTTGTTTTTTTGTCCTCTCTCAATCTCCTCCTCCACTCTCTCGCCTTGGCCTCTCCCCAATAAGAGGGTCTAGGTGGGATCTCCGCTCTCCTTCTATAATCTGATTCCTCCTTGGGGGCTCTTAATCCCTCCCATAACCCAGTCTAGAGATCCTGCATCCACACCCATCCCCAATTGGGTGGCAACTGCCCTTCCTTTCAGTCCAGGGATCCTGCATCCACACCCATTTCCAATTCGGTGGCAACTGCCCTTCCTTTTCTGTCTCCCCTGTTCCTGCTTCCAACTCCACCCTCTTTTTTCTCTCTTCCCACCTTTTCTCCCTGAACTTCTCCCATAATCACTTTCTGCATGTCTTCCGTTAATTCTTCTATCTCTGTCTCTTGCTGAGGTTTCTCTATGGGCTCTGGTGTGGGTTTGGGGTCCACTTCCTTAGCTTTGCTGATGAGGAGGGACTGTTCTCCAGCAACTGTCTCACAGTCCTCCTAAGGCTGTTTCTGTCCCCACCTGTCTCAGGCTGTTATGAAGGGTTTTTCCTTTGGATGTGTAGAGTGCAAAGTAGCATGGCAACTTGGGGCCAAGTTTAATTGAGTAGGGGACTTTCCCTGTGTCCCAGATGGTAAATCACATGTCCAGCATGTCAAGATACCCAGATTTCTGCTATAAATAACTCTAAATCCTGCTATTGGATAGCCAAGAAAAATGCTATTGGGTTGATCTCTGGCCGGCTTTATCTGAAACCTGTATTTAGTGGCACTGTGTTATTTGGAGAGATTTTGTAATGAGGGTCAAGGTCATCCTAAGCAAAAGCACCCACTCCAAACAAGGCTACTGGTGACTTTTCTTTGCAGAGTTAAAGGGCTGAGCTTGTTCTCTTTTTATTAAAAAAAATGAAGGCCATGTTTATGCACATTCAATCTGCAGGGTGCAGCTAGAAATGAGTCCTTTTCTTTCAAAATACTTGAATGTTGGTATCATCAAGAGCCTCTTGCGAGGACTGTGTTAGCAGAAGATTCGAAATAAACCCAGTACATGTGGCTGCCAGCATTTTTATCAGTGACTTCTTTCCATCATCCTGAGTGGCCAGTGTTCCTGTTATCTTGGAGAGGTCATGTCTTTCTTAATTTTCCATTGCTCTGTGAACCAGCTAGGAAGCCTGTGCTTCTAGTTTCTTTAAATTGGCAGGCAAGCTATCAAATGCTCCTCTCTTCTGGTGGCTAGCCAGCGTCTGATCAGGTTGCTTCAGAGTGTCCGGGAGAGAAGCTTGCATTTTGTTTTCTCTTATGGCTCCAGGATTGGCCTGAGAGATGTCATTGCCTGCAGTGGAGAACTAGGCAAAGTTACTGTATTCTGGACATTGTTTGAAGTTGGTTGTTTAAACCCACTTGTTTGAGTTTGCATAGGGAAGCATGATGCTAATGGGATGCTTTCCACTTTGTGTCCAGATTCTGGCCTTCATACCACACACAAACACACCTGTGTGAGGTTCCAAACCATACCCTTAGAATTTTCTAGGGGGAAAAATCTGATGGGGATAGAAGTAAAGAAGTAAGGGTCCCAGGAAAGGTAAAGGAACCCTCTCTGTGTATCATTTACTCTCTGCAAATCCCTCTTCACCTTGCTTGAGGAAGCGGGACTTGTGCTTTTCTCAAGCACATATTGCTGGGTGTCTGTTACACACATTCTTGTGTAAATATACAGTATAATTATTCCTTATGAGTGAGTAAATGGGCACCGAGGGCATGTCTTAGTGTATTGTTAGCATTTAATTTCCTCATGTTCTGATCTGTCTTTCTCCCTTTTACATTTAACACTGGGAACCTGTTCTCAAACACAACTCCCCTTGTACCACTACGATCGATCTTGTCATTAGGTGCAACTGACAAGGGTTCATGAGGTCACAACTAACTGTGGTTATTTTTCACTGTCTATTTCTTTTCCCTGCCCTTCCCATCTCTGCTTTTCCTCTTTATCCCATCGTAGAACTCCATCATGGAAGCGGCGTTATGCGACTACCCAGAGGAGCCTCCCACCTCTGCTGTCCTCTTGGACAGCTGCCACTTCTCTCAAGTCATCTTTACAAATGTGGAGAAATTCTACATCCCTGGTGCAGATGTAACATGCCATTACACCCTTTCTCAACATATCACACCACAGAGGAAGGACTGGGTGGGCATCTTCAGGGTAAGTGCATGTTGTGAAAGCAGCAACCTGGGTTGTGCAGTATGGAACTGAAACTGATTTACAGTGAGTCACAATCTCCTGTTCATATGTGACAGCCTACTAGAGTTATAAACGTTTTTATCTCTTTCTCTGAAGCAATAAACCTGGCTACAGCTTCATAGGAGACACAGTGCTCAAGCAGAGAGGAAAACCCCTGGTGATAGTTCACTTGATTTGCAGCAACTTCAGAGGGATTTGAATACAGTGTGTTGGCTAGTGGTAGACGTGGGGACGAATAAAACAATGAATTGCGATATTTGCTAAAAATTGTTGATTCATTTAATATTCATCCCTTCATGTTAATCAATTCCAGAGACCCCAATGAATATGGATGAATATTTATCCATTTTTATTTGTCCCCCATAGGCTGATCATGAGTTGTATGCCTATGGCCTTCCCAGTCTATGGGCCCGCTGAACAGCTGATTGGTGGACATCTAGGCAGACAGACCACAAACTAGGATAAACCGCCATTTTGGTATAGTTCCCCCCATTTCTAGTTTACGCTCTAAATATGTATTACATTGTAATCCATATTTAACACAAACACACAAAAAACTTGGAAACGTTTCTGTAATACATTAGGGTGGAGCAGAGGTGAAGATCCTGGAGCCTTTTGGATGTTTTGCACTCTAGCTCCTTGAATTTTTGACCATGCAGACTGGGGTTGCCAGGGGTACCAATCCAAAGCTCATGGAGCATATCAGGTTGGGAAATACATGCACAGGAAAATCTTTTATGTCTTAGTTGCTCCCAGTTCCCTTCTTAGTTAATGAAAGGCCATCATGCCAATTTCTTGTTGCAGGTGGGATGGAAGACGACCCGTGAATACTACACTTTCATGTGGGCACCTTTGCCAAGCAGCGATTCCAACAGCAATGTGCAGCAGCTGGTTTTTAAAGGTTAGTGGGAAAAACAAAAGGCATGAAATTTTGCATTTCTTGTTTTAAGTATTGTTGCGTGGTAGGCGGAAGTAAGTACATTAGGATGGCTTTTGAAATTCGGTTATAGCCAGTGTGGTATAGTGCATACAATGTCAGACTAGGACTCTTGAGATGTGGTTCACATCCGAATTTGGCCTGGAAAACTAACTGGAAGTGTCAGTGATAAACCACTCCTTGATCATCTCATATACCTGCAGAAAGCTACAGATGTGTTCTCACCCAATGGTAGCAGAACTAGAGCACTTGACATGATTTTCTAGCTGGTATTCTTATCCTCTTGTATCTGAAAGTGCATACTGGTGGAAAGAACAGGCTTATTTTTAGAAAGGGAACTGTAGCAAGTACTTCAGATCAGAAGGTTGCAGGCCCAATCCTAGGCATACATAATTTAAAAAAATCACATGGTAAATATAGAAATGACTTCTGTCTGATAACATGAAGAACCACTACTGTTAAGGGTGCAAATAATTTGTCTCTATGCTTCTGTTCCCTTTCCTTCTGTTTTCCCATTACCAGCTTAAGAGGTAAGAAATAAGATTTGTGTGTGTTTTTAAATTTTTTTTAGCCTACTACCTACCATTGGATGATGAGTATTATCAGTTCTGTTACATTGACCAGGATGGGCAAGTCCGTGGAGCCAGCGTGCCCTTCCAGTTCCATGCAGAGGCTGAGGATGACATGCTGGTGGTTACTACACAGGTTTGTTCCCTTTGTTATGACCCGCAGTGTTCAATGCAGGGATGTGGGAATTTTTATCTTTGGAATTACAATATCCATAGTTCCTTGTAATCAGTTTGAGGTCAATGAGAGTTATAGGCAAGGCATCTCAGAAGCCCAAAATCTCTAACCATCCCATTACTTTATTTCCCTTACTGAATTACACATGTTACCTACATATATAGTAATCTGATTAAATCATTTTAGGAGAAAGCAATAGATATTTTCCCTTTCCTGTTGTTACCATGGTCTAAGCAGAACACTTGCTTATACCAACTGTGCCTTTAACCATGTCTTTTTTTTTGTTGTTCTTATCTTCCCTTCCTTTAATTGCCAGGGTGAAGTAGAGGAGATTGAGCAACAAAATGCAGCTTTGCTTCAGGAAAACCAGAAACTGAAAGAAAAAGAATCAACCTTGCAAAAGCAGAATGACGATCTACAGGAAAAGATCAGGGCAGTTGAGGTATGTGGATGTACTCGCTAACAAGCGTGGCTGGCTATTTTGCCAAAAATTGATAGCTCCCATTTTTTTTAAGCTGGTCAGTTTTCAACAAAAACAAAAAAGAAAGAAATATTCAGGAGGTGGTTGTTGTTGTTGTGGTCACCCACAGTATGGGTATATTAGTCCAAATGTCGACATATAGACTATACTCAGCTGTGTGGACCACAAATCTTACTTGGTGTGAGATAACTTCCTGTGTTGTTAAAAGCTGAAGGATGGAATGCGATGTGGTTTTCTTAAAGGAGTGCTGCTTAGAAAAGAGGGAGAAAGAGCCAAAATTTAACTCCTATAGAGTTCACAGGATGGCCATTTAAAAAGCTGAGGCATTTCTTCAGATTGGATCACATTAGAGGAAGGAAAAGAATAAGGCAAATCAAGCACAATGTTGAATGCACTTCCGTATTGGTTGAGCAGGTAGAACACATTGCATCAGCTTGCCAGGTTGGGGAGAGGTGCTTATAATTAATAGGATCAGTGGGGTCAATGGGAAGACATGCAACCCTCCGTCCCCTTGCTGTTGTCTGTTTGCTTTGGGGAAACTCCTTGATCAGAGGAGGAAAATTCTGTAGCAAGGGAGGAAAAATTTAAATTCTCCCTCCATGCCTGCAGTTATCCTGTTAAAGTCAGTCTTCCTACAACCAGTGCAATTTGCTTTTTTTAAAAAAAATGTCAGGATAGATGCAAAGACACTTCTTACATCATGTGTTGCTTGATCCTAAGTGTTTTAGAAAAAGCAGATTTCTAAACTACGCAACCATGCAGATGTTTAGCCAGAGGTTGGCAACTTGCTGGTGTTGACAGTAGTCCTTATCAGCCATGACCATTGCCAATGCTGGGCAGGGCTAAGAGATTTGGGGTCCAACAAAATCTAGGAACCACAACTGCCAACCTCTAGAGCCCATACTATATGTTTTACAAATTGTGCTTTCCCCCCATTGTGCATTTCCAGGAAGAGAAAAGGGAGCTTGAGGAAAAATTCCGTTTGCTACAGGCTGGGACCATGGAGCTTCAGAGAGCACAGAATCTGCAGGCTTTAGAGAAAAGCGCTGCTCAGACTGAGATCACGGCTCTGACAGAAGATAATAGAAAACTGCAAAAGGAACAGGAGGTAAACAAAAAGGGGCTGAAACTGAAAGACTTTCGTTATTTAGTGGGAAGGCTAAAAGACTGGCCAAAAATCAGAATGGCATTAACATTTTGACATGGCTGGTGAGAATTTGCATGTTTTATCATTGCAAATGCTAAAAATCTTATGTATTTCCTATGGAACTGATAAAAATGAGTCAATTCTTATTATCTAATTCTACCTCCTTACCCAACTCTTCAGGATCTTCAAAGAAGCTTGGATACTTTAAGGAGCAGTTATGAGAAACTCAGTTTGGAAGTAAATCATTTTAAAAATCAAATTACAGATCTGGAAGCACAGAACAGCTCCACAGAGAAAGAATTGCAGCTGTAAGTACATCTTTTTTTCTGCCAGAGGCTATTTCAGTGATGATGTTAAATCGTAGTTTCTTGTGGAGAACAAATATAGGCAAGGTATTGGCTTATCAGACACAGAGGTGGGGACGTCTGTAGGATTGTGCCACTCCTTCCAACTTGTTTCCTCACCCTGCTCAAAGTCTGGTGTTCACTTGGCCCCAACCATTTAGTACTTTATATGTTATCTGCAGGAGCATATTTTCTCCCCATATACTTCCCTGTAGGATTGAGCCTTTTACACACTCCCCCAAGACTCTTGGCAAGGACTTTTTTCTGGTTAGGAACAGAATGAAATTTACGGATTTTGTTACATTAAGCTACAAGATTTTAACCAGGGTTTCCCTAACAATTTCTATGAATTTGCTCTCCCTTTCCCTCTGTATCATTCTATGTGTCCTTGGACAAGTGAAACAACTATTTTTCTTCGCTTGTTTTTATTCAACAATGCCACTATTGTTTTTATATCCCTAGAACTATCTGTAAATGATAAATATTATAACAAAATGCATGTAGAAGTACAAACACCTTTCTTAAGGAAAAGTAAACTCCTCATTCTATCATGGTAGGGATCCGTGCGCTTCAGCACAAAGATGTTTGGAACCTAAGAAACAAACATTTGAAAAGCACCAGCCTGAGGTACTAAATGCCTTGACTTTGGGCAGGAGCGTGCCATTGCTATGCTTCAGAAAACAGAATGTCTTGGACCAGCGTTACCTCCTTATAATAACATCACTTAATGCCTTTATCCACATGTGTCCATCAAATGAATTTTGGTCAGTTGCTAGTAGAAGAAGCCTTTCATGACGGCCCTTGGGTGTGGAATGCCCTCCCCTTGGTTTTACTCCGTTTTCTAATTTGTGTTAGTTTTTACATTCTGTTCTATTTCTACAGAAGAGTCTTGTGACAGATGATAAGACTAACAAGTTTAAGATGCTATGGACCGCAACCCACTTCATCAAATGGAGTATTACCTCAGCTGACACACATTTATGCACATATTTGAGTGGGAGAGGGATGTGAGGAGTTGAAATGCACATGGTAGAAATGTACAAACATGTTAGTCTCTAAGCCGCACTTGGTCAGAAAAGAAATCAGAAAAAGGCTGTGTGGTTCTCCCCCCAACCCCCCCCCCAATATAAGAGTCGGCGATACCTTTATTGGACCACTAAAACATCAAGCAGATAGCTAGTTTTTGATAATTTATCTACATCAGGCTGTGCACCAAGATATGAGGATCCCAGAGTTTTATGACTTTTGTTTTGACACATTAAGAGGACTACTTACTCCTGGTATTTATTATGTTTTGATATTTTATGGTCCTAACTTCTATTTTGGGAACTATCTGGGGAGCCTCAATCATTAAACATTATATTAATACATATGGCATATAAATGTATAAATAATTAAACAGTGGTCTATTCAAATGTCCCATTCCTGAACAGGATCAAAGAAGAGAAAAAAAATCTATTACTAGAACAGGAACGACTGGAAAACAACCTGAAAACTACCCTGAGCAATGTGGTTCAGCTTCAGGTGAGCAATGACTGGATCCTCCCATGGGTACAAGCTGCAACCCCTCTGGGTGGTGAGGGAATTGAATTTAGGCAGCTAACAGGATTTTTCATGATGTAGTTAGCTTTTTGAGAATTGGAAATGGGCATTTTTGCTTTAATGAATGATGCTAAACATAGTCCATTATTTCTCTTACATTTGATCTCACTCATTCTGCTCAGCCACAAATGGAGAATGGTACATAGTACCATTATTGGGTCAGAATTCAGGAACAAGCCCCTTCCTGATGTCACATGCTTCCTGTTTGACTATTATGATGCCTGCTGGGATGGTGACTGTAATGAAAAGCATATCTTGTGAGCTGTGCTATGCATGAGACAGAATGGAGCAGGAAATTTTGCAGACTGTGCTTCTTCAGATGGGTTCAGGGTGTCATATTTTAAAATGATGAGCTCCACTGGAGAAGCAGTTTCCTGTATGATGACTGTTTTAAACGTCTCCCTCCAGTTACGTATATGTGCATATGAAAACAAATTTTTGTGTATCATTCTAAACTGAAACTGCAGTTTAAAATGCATTTCCTCTGCCAGTTGTCTGAGTGATACAATCCAAACTGCTAGCACCCTTTTAAGCAGAACCACTGGAGTCATGTAAGGAGCCTTTTTATCCTTTGTAATGTGTAGTTCTTTCTCTTTTTTTATCCTCCTGCTCACCCTAGATCAGTGGTTCTCAACTTTGGGTCCCCAACAAGGTTCCCTCTCAGACTTACAACTGCATGCATGCATGTGACTCCACCCCCCTCCGCACAGCTTTTCTCCTCCTCTCAGCAGCCCCATTGATTCCAGTTGCAACAGAATCCCACATGCATGCACTCAGGGGAGAAGTTGCGTGTGAGAGAGGCAGAGCCCCCACCCACAGGGATGAGAATTAGAAGGTATGTTGTTCCCCAGGTGCATCATGCATGCACTCAGGGGAGAAGTTGCGTGCGAGAGAGGCAGAGCCCCCACCCAACAGGGATGAGAATTAGAGGGTACGTTGTTCCCCAGGTGTATTTGGACTAAAACCCACAGAAGCCTTCACCACTAGGTATGCTGGCCAGTATTTCTGGGAGTTGTAGTCCAAGAATGTCTGGGCACCCAAGATTGGGAAGGATGCCCTAGATGTTCGGCATCATCAAGGCTATTCTTGTCTTGGTTGAATAGGTAAGAACAAACATGTAGATTAGGAGTGGGCGACTTGTGAGTTACAGTATTTACATTTATCTTATTCTTACATTAATATACCACCTTGTTTGTGCATAGCAATATTCTGGGTTCAAGGTGTTGTTTGACTGCAGCTCTGATCAGGTGTAACCAGCACCATCCAACAACATTTGGAGGGCTACAAGTTACCCACTTCTGGTATGCATTTTTCATCTGGGAATTAGAGGCCACTGTGGAACTTGGTCCTCTTCAGTTCCAACGGAAGCAAATGCAAAACCTTCTGCATCTAAAACATAAAAAAGATTCCAGCTGGCTCTCACTAAAGGTGGGATACATTAGTTTGAGCATTCTGTTCCCACGGTGGCCAGCCAGCTGTCTCTGGGTAGCCCACAAGCAGGACACAAACAGAGTACCAGCTTCCTCTTTGTGTCCCTCAACATTTGGTATTGAGAGACATAGTGTCTCTTCCTACCTCTCCTGGACTCGCTGGATGGATGGACAGAGTAATATCTAAAACCTGGAAATCAGACGTTCTTTTAGGACAATCACTAGCCATTTAAATTATTCAGTGATGCCATGATGCCAAGATAGACATCTGTCTGAAAGCCTAACAAGTTCTTAGATTCTATATATCTCATGGGACTGTTCTTTTACATTTGTCTTTTTGTTGTTGTTAACTTATAATTGTATTTGGAAATCTCACCAAAACATAGTGGGACTAATTTTTAAATCTAATTGCCCAGAATTCCCTTTATGATATGTATTTGGGAAGTCATGTGTTCCTCTTGTCCCATCTCAGTCAGAAGTGCAGAATCAACAGAAAGAGGTGCAAAACCTGAAGGGGGCAGATCAAGAGAAAGCAAAGCAACTTCAGCAGCTGAAGGAAGAGAATCGTCAGTTAAATAATGCCTTGCTTAGACAGGTAAGCTTCCTTTACTCCTCTCTTTTACTATAGACCAGTGGCTTTCTCTGTCTGTGTTTTGTAGACACTTGGGACTTCTCAGGTAGTAGGAATCATAGATTAGTAATAAATACAAATGCTTCGCATACATAAACATGCAGGTTCAGTGTGTGATCTTTTGTATTTGAAGGAGGAAGCCAGAGAGTGTGGCTGGGTTACCTGTAGTGGTTAGAGTGTTAGATTGTGAGATCCAGTCACTCTTTCTTAGCCTGAAGTAGCTCACAGGGTTGTTGTAGAGATAAAGTGGGGGAAAGGAGTACTATGTATGCTACTATGAGGTGAAATATAAATGTAAAACATAAAATAGTTTTCCAATCATAGTAACTTTGCTATTAAACTAGGGTGGCCAATGGTCTGATTAAGGCAGATACAAGGCAGGTTCACAAACTTTTGTTGTTGTTGTTGTTATGTGCTGCCAAGTCATTTCTGACTTATGGTGACCTTATGAATGCGCGATCTCTAAAACGCCCTGTCCTCAACTGCCCTGCTCAGCTTTTGTAAACTCGAGCTTGTGGCTTTCTTTTGGGAGCTAATCCATCTCGTATTTGGACTTCTTCTTTTTCTGCTGCCTTCCATGTTTCCCAGCATTATTGTGTTTTCCAGAGAATCCTGCCTTCTCCTGATGTGCCCAGAGTAGGACACCCTCAGCTTCAACATTTTTGCCTCCAGAGATAGTTCAGGCTTGATTTGAACTAGGACCCACTTATTAGACTAATTTCTCAGTAATGGGCAGGCACAATTTCTTTGAAATTCCTTTTCCCTGTGACTTTTAATCTTTCCTTCTGTGTGTAGACAGGGAACAGAAATGAGACTGTTTAGAACTGGGATGGGGAATCTTCTTTCATCTTCTCTCTGTGTGTGTTTATATGTACAGTGGGGTCTTGACTTGAGAACTTAATCCGTATTGGAAGGTGGTTCTCAAGTCAAAAAGTCTGTAAGTCAAGCCGTCTGTAAGTCAAGGGTCCACTGTATGCTCAAAAGTTATGATTTGTAGTGGGTAGTAATTTTCTGTAGGAGGCAAGAAGAGGTTGTTGCATTCTTTTGGCCTCTGAATAAAATATGTCCTGCTGGGAGAAAGGAATGCAAGCACTAGCCCTGTTTCCCAAAGTAGGGAACCCGATGCTTCTGGGACTCCCCAAATGAAGTCATGATCATGGCCCTCCTGCACTGCTGCTTTCACTTTAACAACAACCACCTAGTTAGCATGTCTTCTATAGTCATTGTCTGACTGCCTGTAAAAAACTTCCAGGAAGGACCTGAGTAGCTCTTACTGTTCTCCAGCAGTCCATATCCAGAGTTGTACTGCCTTGGAATATAAAAGCAATACATTGGTCCATGGAAGAGGGGGTCTTGCAGCAGCTCACTCTAAAATCCATCTCATTGGACATCCCTGTTCTGCCTTCTTGCTTGTGGTCTGAACTGCAGAGTGATGCAATCTGTTTCTCTCTACATTCACATTTTGGAAATGTTTCTGGCCCTGCTAGCTGGGGGATTCTAGGGGTTGAAGTCCAAAGGCGTAGCTTTTCTAAGCTCAGAGTTACATACTGTTGTAAGAGAGCATAATAGTTCTGAGCAGCTGTGGATGACAGAGATAGAGTTCACACAGACATGGATTCCTTGGGGTGGGGGTAGGAGACTCTTGTGTTTATATAATATAATTATATTCCTCCAGCAAGTTCCAAGTGGTGTCCATGGTTCTCAATGCTATTCCTCAACAAACCTGTGATGATGGTTAAGCTGAGAAAATATGTCCGGTCCAAAAGTGTGAAGGAAGTGGGGGATAAGTACTGGATGGGTAGCTATATGACAGTGTATGGATGTTTTTAATACCTTTCAGCTTTGGGTTTCTAATTGCAAATTGTTGTTTTGGTTCTGTAGCAAAATTTGGAGGAGGAACTGGAGGAGAAAACATGTTTGCTTCAGACCCTGCAGAAGGAAATTAATGAAAAGGAAAAGGCAAATCAGGTACTAGGTTTGTCAAGTATAGATGGAGGAAAATCACACCCTAGCCTTTTGGAACAGAATTGTTCAATGCTATGACAATCAATGTGCCATTGGAAGTACACTTGGGAGGGTTATTACAGAGGTTACATTGCAATGGATATAGATTTGCAACTGAACAGTGATTGCTTAGGGAAGGTCTTCCCAAACTTGGCACTGGCTCTCTTTATGTCTAGTCAACATGGACAAGTGCAGCTGTAATAGAGTATTAACACTACCTTTAAAATCAAGGAATGCAGTTAACTTATACAGTGGTGCCCCGCATAGCGCCGATAATCCGTGCAGCAAAAATTGTTGCTATACGGATTTGTCGCTATGCGAAAATAAAAAGCCCATAGGAATGCATTAAAACCCGTTTAATGCGTTCCTATGGGCAAAAGACTCACTTTTATGGGAAAATCCTCCATACGGCGGCCATTTTCGCTGCCCGGTAAGTGAGGAATCCGGGCGAAAACACAGTGGGCGGCCATTTTTTTACCCAGCGGCCATTTTGGAACTGCCAATCAGCTGTTGGGAAATCATCGTTATGCGAAAATTGGTAAGTGAAACAGTTTACCAATCATCGTAAAGCGATTTTCCCCATTAGAAACATTGCAATGCGATCGCAAAAATGATTGCAAAAAATTCGTCACTATGCGGATTTGTCAAATGGGGCGCCCGTTAAGCGAGGCACCACTGTAGTTTTAAATTCTTGTGAGCCTTCTAAACCACTCACCTCAATATGTGCAATGAATAAGAAATGCTGCAAGGCAACCAGCGAAGGAAGGAAGCTTTTATAGTGTGCTGGTTCTTTCAAGTTATCATTGTGTCACAATCACTGATACTAGATACTTGTGGACAGGGAGGCAATTTTTTTAGAAAACATTTTATTGGACTAGTAAAGTCCCTGGCATTATTTGCAAAGCTGCCTTGAGGGATACTAAATGGCCTGATACAACTAATCATTTTGTGGCAATAGCACCCAAAAATATAAGCTATCCCACAGACTATAGCTCCTTTTCTGGTTCCCTTGCCAACGTTCCTGACTTCCTTTCCGCCCTTGCACTTGGATTCATTGCTGGTTTCTGCCCCTGGCATGATTTCTGTTCCTTCATGCTTCAACTGAAATGTCATATTGCAGACCCAGGCAAGAGGAGCTTTTGTTTTGTTTTGATAGTGAGTAAATGAAAGGCTGCAGCTCGGAATAGACTTGGCACAGTGTGAGGAGCAGATTCCTGCAATGGGTAACCCACCTACCAGCTGACGCACACCTTTATCACACCATTGAAGGGGAGCCCAGTATTGGCACCAGGGTTCAGTATATCCCTAGGCATGTGACCTCCAGGGGAGCCCCTCAATATACATTTTGATGAAGGTGCTGTGGCAGCCTGCCTGAGCCAGGTATGCCCTTGTCACCTCCACCACTCCCTGATCCCCATGGGAAGTGGAGTTCCCAAGCCTGGGATAGGACCAAATGCCCATCCCCCTCACCAGGGATCCAGTCTTGTATGCAAATCCACCCTCGGCTGTAACCAAGAGCCTGTGACGGAGTTTACATACAGTAAAATACAGCAGTTGCTTCTGCTCATAACATTGTCAGGAATGCAATTAAATTACCACCCAACGATAAGCAGAAGGAGGGTGGTGGAAGTCTCAAGGAAAACTGGCTGGAAAGGAGTGGCATGGGGTGGGCTCCTTAAATACTTCTCTAATGGAACAGAGTGAAGACTGCTTTCCTCTGGTCTACTAGGCGGGCTTCTCCCAGCATTCCCGATCCAGCTATTGATTGGCTGGAATATCTCTGGCACAATTGACAGTTTCTCCTGGTCAGCTCTTCCACAATTGGCTCGCTTTCAATCCTTGAGCTGGCCACCAAGCTCCTCCTGACCCAAGGAGATGTTGAAGAACCACTATTTCCATCTAGTAGACTAGTCTTACTATTGGGCAGGCCGGCTGGCCTGGGAATGATGGGAGAATTCAATTTCTGGAGGGCCAAAATGTTCCTTCATTGGAAGTGTTTTGACATTAAAAGCAAAAACAGCAAAGCATGCTGCTTATATACCACCCTATGGTGCTCAAAGCACTCTCTGGGTAGTTTGTAACTTAATTGTGCAGGCTACACATTGCTTTCCCCCCAGCAAGCTGGGTACTTAATTTACTGAATTCAGAAGGATGGAAGTCTGAGTGAACCTCAAACTGGCTACCTGGGATTGAAACCAAGTTGTGAGGATAATTTTGGCTGCAGTGCTGCAGTTTAACTACTGCGTCATGAGGTTCCATTACTGTACTTTGTTTCTATATTACAGATGGAAAACTAAGCCAGACAGTTTCAAAATGTGCTGACTTCTCAATCTACTATTTGCTTCTTTTGCAGAATTTAATGCGGGAGAACAAAGGACTGATGGCATGCCTTCCCGAAATGATAGGTGATGTACCTGCTGGGGTCCTAACCCAGTCATCAGAAAATTCTGGCCTTTTGTTTGGGAATCCATATTCTGGTGAGCATCCAGTTAGAAGGTTCAAATCGGATTAAAAACATATGGTGTTGTATCTTAATGTCCAGGGCAAATATTCTATTTAGGATTTTCATTCACACAACTAATGTTGCACATGCAATTGCACTATTCAGTGAGGTCCGTGGCACAAATCACTCACACAGCAGACACCTCACCAAATTTAAAAAAGTGGGTGATGGTAACAGTTCTGCTGTCATTCTCAGCATTCTGCCATCTGAACCTTGGTTTGGCTAACAACCGGGCCACCTCTGCTCCTCAGAGCCTTATGCTGGGGCCTTTGTTAGCTGTGCCTGGAGATCTGTGGGATTCAACTCCAGATTTTCAACATGCAAAGGAAGTGCTCTGTCCATGATCAGCAGCCCTTCTCTAAAGAAAGGGAACAGTAGAGAACAAGATAAATGCAGTATGGAAAACATTTTTTTCCATGAAAATCCTTTGCACTGGTTATATATTTTATTTGCCTGATATCTAGAATATTTTCAGTAGCACTACAAAAGGAAGTAGTAGATGACATTGCTAGCATATTAAATTCTTTGGATGAGGGCCTTAGCTTACTGGTTTTGCATTATACCTCACAACAGCAACACATATGCTGGATGAACAGAATAAAATTCCACGTCAGAGCATTCAGGATACAGTGGTGACTCAACTTACAAACTTGGTTCTGGAAGATGGTCGTAACTCGAAGTGGTCATAAATCAGGATGGTTGTAAGTTGAGGCACTACTGTACCATTATCTGGCAAATTTCCCTTATTTCTGAAAATAAACAAAAAACACATTATAGCTGACAGTGTGAAACATACATTGGGCAACAGAACTCTCTGTAAAAGAGGGCTTTGCGTTCAGCATCATAGTAATCTTCCTATGGTTACATAGGAAGTAGGAGAAAGGGTAATGGCTGATCAAGAATTAGTAGATAGCTTGGAAAATTATTCCAGGAGATTCAGCTGTTTTGGGGATAATAAGAGTAATTCCAAAAGCGCTGAGGTCTTGTACAAGGTTGCCCTCTTACATTTGAAGTACAAAGGCCTACTGGGCAGGATAGAAGCAAACTAATAAACCAGTCTTCTTAACCTGGGATCCTCTACGTGCATTAGACATGTAGGGATTGTGGTGTAAAATCTGATAAGGTTGGAATAGCTTCCAAGTAGCTTTGGATTTAATTAAGTAAAGA